TGTATATAATAACATATTGTGAAGTACATGTGTTGTGGTGTATTTAATACAGAAAATCGCTTTAAGTTGGTTTGTGGTTTTGGTTGCTTGGTCATTTGTAATGTTTGAATTGTTTATCCAATGTTGAGTCATGGTGATATGCTGTAAAAGTCTATATCAGGTTATTCAAGTAAAACTTGTGAATGTCCAGCTACATCAGAGGCATAAACAACTAACATGACTGAATGGTGACAACAGTTAGCCTACCTGTTAATGCTTAACCATGTCTGATAGGTTTATGGCTATAAATAAGACAATCTGAAGTGATTGTTTTGCACTGGTGTCACGTTATCACGTTTGACTCGCGCCAGAGACAGATGATCTGCTTTGAACCTGAGCCTGAAATTAAAAATATATGTTATAGTGCGAAATATCATCACTTCACTAATGAGGCCAGAGAGTGTAAATGATTAAAAAAAAAAAAAAAATCTATGAAATTCTGAACACAAACTCTCTCCTTTCTGGACGAGCTTAATTATTTATACCTTTGTGATTGCTCACTGTTCCTAGAGTTAAACTAAAGAAAAGGGGGGAACGTGCCTTCGCTGTTGTAGGCCCTAAACTCTGGAATAGCTTACCAGTTCATGTTAGATCTGCTCCTACTTTACAGGTTTTTAAATCTCTACTCAAAACGCATTACTTCTCCATCACTTTAATATGTCCCTTGATGTTTCATCTCTGTTTTCGACTTGATGGCAATCCTGGTTCTGTCTCTTATATTTTGTTATATTTTAAAATAGAGTCGTTGATGTAATTTGGTTTTTAGCTGTGATTTTATTGATTTTATTTATTTACTTTATGTTTTATTTACTACTTATTTTATTTGATGCTGTAAAGCACATTGGTCAGCTGCTGCTGTTATAAATGGTGCTATATAAATAAATTAAACTTGAAACTTTGTGTGTGATTGGTGGTAACAGAGTATCTGCTACAGAAGCTGCACTGGTTCTTGTTTAAAAATCTGGAGTTCCTGATCTCTGGGCAGGTTTCATACGGTGATCTGATCAGGTATAGTATTCTGTCTAGTGCTCTGTTCAGTCCCACTCCCGAGCCTCAGTCCACCAGCTGACGACCCCTGGTCTGTATAGTAAGTAGGGAATGAGTGAGTGAGGGAGCGATTTGTGAGTTTTCCGTCATCCACATTAAAACATGAAGATGACGTTTTCAGATTTATTAGAAAATAAATCGGATTAATTGGAGCGTGGATTCAAACAGATGCATTTTTGATGGTTGATTTAGCGTGGATGGAAAGGCACACCAGATAAAGGATGTGTTTTCATATTTACCTCCGTGGATTAGGCCGAAATTTTATGACATGATGGTACATGTAAAGGATTTAAAAACTTGAGTGCTGTTCAACAAAGAATGTAGGTGATCCTTTCAAGGAGCAGTTTGTAATTTTGGGTCTCCTTCAGTTGTTATTGATAGCACTGCCAAAGCAACATGAAAACACATCTGTCTATTTAAATAGTTACTGAATATATACAGCACGTATCTTGGATACACTAGGATACGTAGCTAGTTAATGAAGATTTAGTGCTGCCTATTAGCAAATGACAGTAAGTCCATAGAATGATCCTATATACCCTCAGCAGTGCACCCAGGCATGACACATGCTCATGGACGTTGTGATACACGAACCGCTAACAGCCAACCCCCAGTGGGTTATCTTTAGTTACAGCATGGTGTATGTGTCTGTGTGTATGTGCTGTTTTGGACACAAGATAAGATAATCGATGGTGAAAGACTTGTCATGTGACTATTACAATGGGATGATATGACCTAGCTTCATAATGCTTACTTCCTTCCCCTCCTTGACTGAAGTGAAGTCTGGAGAAGTGCTATGGCGTGTAGTTGAGAAGAACGATCTGTGTATGGTTTGGTAGCACGGTGGTTAAATGAGCAAGTTAAATGGAAGTACATTTTACAGGAAGAGTCACCTGAGATCAGTTCAGATGTTTGCAAGCATTTAGCCAGCCTGTTGTGCTTTTTTTAGGCGTCTTTTTGATTTCTTGGCGATTTATTGATTTCATCTCAATAAACCAGACTCAATTATGTTGAAGGTTTTTAATCAGTGGACATAATCTTCTAAAGCCGGTTTTAGACTGTGCGATTTCAGCAGACTGTTTGAGATGACCAATAAGATGAATTCTATAACGGACTGTGTGATAACATGCTCTCCATATCAGATTATTATGACCAAGATCCATGATTATAGAAAATTACTGTTCTGCTTCCTTCATCACCACTCTTTGAAATTCAGAAATAAAGCTCTCCGGCTCTGACTTCTGCGTTGGGTTTTTTATGCCCAGTGGGGGAGACATTATGTTTTCGGGTTGTCCGTGTGTTTTCCTGAGTTTCTTGTTAGCGTGATAGTTCAAGAACGAGTGGTTGAATGTTTGTAGGATTTTATTTTTTTATTGAATTATGATTGTAACCAGCAGATGTACTGATTAGATTTTGGAATTGATCCAAACAGGGTCAAGGTCACAGCAACGTCAAATGTATTCAGTCTTCCTTCAATAGCTTTCTTGCAGTTTGAAGTATATTTTTATATGGTCAAAAGGTGTGCATTATTTTCATATAACAGCACAGGTAGTTCCAGCTGTAACATGAATGATTTTACATGAAAGTTAATATTAATGCACTCATTCTAATACTTTATTGTCACTATAGTAGCAGCTCATATGCAGGGACTTGTCTAGAGGACGCTCCACATAATCTAAGGCTAATAATAAATGGATATTTAAAAAAAAAAGCGTTGTGCTTTGCAAAGTAAAATGTACAATTGTTGAAGTGACCTTTTTTTTTTTTTTTTTTTTTTTTTAGGAGATATTTAATTAACATTTATGGAACGAGTCTCTGTTGTAAACATTTTGTAACAGTCCCCGCTCAGGAAAGTCTTCAGGAAAGAGGAGATTACGCTTTCCGGTTTCTCGGTAAATTGACAAGCTGCTCATTTTTGAGAGAAAGAGAGAGAGAGTGGGGACAGAATGACACAGCTATAATGTAAGTGAGAACAGGAACTAACCTATCTTTTAGATGCTCCACAGCATTAAATTTATCTATAAATCGTGAAAATGTGTGATGTTTTGTACACTAATAAATAAAATAATGTAACTGTTGGCAAATCGCTGTGGTGTAAGTGGAATAACACACTCCAGACTGTGCTGTTATACAAAATTAACACACTTCCCTTTCACGCCGTATAACAGCGCGGTCTGTCATGTGTTCCTTATGAAGGATATTTTAATACCCAAGAAACGATTAAAATGGGCCAGGAACACCTCTATATATTTACTCTTCTAAAAACTACCAGGATCTATGAACATACATGCAATTTGTAAATGCCCTCTCCTGCCATCCCTCTGTAATCTCTAATATAGTGTTTGTAAAGATCACGTTCATTACAGGAGCTGTGCTGAGCACATTATGTTTCAGGAAAGGTCATTTTTAGTATTGGACCTGGTCTGTTAAATTTAAACACTGCTCATGATCATGTTACACTTATGAGAGCCTTTTAGGACACTTTAGAGTTCTTTGTCCTCCCTTGTTTAACCAACCCCCTGCACTGATCTGTGTATGGTAATGTGGTTACTTGTCTACCTTTTCTTCCTCTCTCATGATTAATGAGTCATTCCATATTGAGCAACTGGAGGAAGGTTAATACTATATCACTGGGACCTGCATTGAGCTTTGTTTCCTTTTGGAGGTCTTAGTGGTTTTGGCACTTCCATGCTAACAATGTCTTTCACCTCCTGTTGTGCAGTAGTGCGAAACAAGGCAGCGGGGCAAATCCTGATTACGTGGCTGCACCTAAGCCGCCCACACTATAAATAATTTGTTTGGATGAAAGGTGACCTTTTAAAACCGTTTCTTACAGCCGGTTGTTTCTTCTTTGGCCACCAAGCATCATAGCATCTTTTCAGAAACTATCCATCCACACACACACACATGCGCAAACTCACACACACAGATGTGTTTTTTATATTTTATTCCTTGAAATCGATGCAGTCTCTTTGGTCTTTTTGTTGTTCTGGTTTGATGTGCTGCTGCTTATCAGCTGCCCTGCATATGGAGAAGAGTTTTTGTTAACGAGAACCAGGTGAAATATGGTGGAGGCTAGTGGTGGGCGTTGAACTGATAGATGTTTTCAAATACTTTTTCCACAGGGGTTGAGCAAATATCGTGTATTTGCTGCAGCAAAACAGCAACATGTTGTGGGCTTCATGAACAGAAAGCAGTTATAGTCTGTGTATAAATAACATGCCAGTCGGAAACTGTGGTTTCAGTGTGTCTGCTAACACAACATAATTTTACACACACACACACACAGACAGACACCAGTGCAGGTTTGTGAAGTGTAAATTGGGCATAGTGTTATATCAGAGTTAAACTGGCTTGTTCACTTGATGACGACGGGGTTGGGGGGTGGAACTGTTGGAACATGGCATAGTATTATTGGTAAAAAAAAATTTTTTCTCCCCCTGCCTGCTTATTCATAGTGATGCACTCACAAACTGAAAAGTTTAGAGGTGGAGAAACATTTACAGATTGCTTCAAACAGACATTCAAGCACCATATGACCAGCGATATGAAGTTTTGATTCTCTCTATGTTTGTAAGACTCTTCTGTAATATTTAAGTCCAGTCATCTTTTATAGATCTAATTCCCATAAGGCTCTGTTCCATGGAGCTGTCACTGTCCAAACTCTTGGGAATATCTTATCAGCCATTCCTAGTAGATAGCCATTTTTTTTCCCATGGTACTTTTCTAAAGTTTGTTCTTTCGACTGCTCCCGTTAGGGGTCGCCACAGTGGATCACCTTCCATTGTCCGCGTATTGATTTGGCACAGGTTTTACGCCGGATGCCCTTCCTGACGCAACCCTCCCTGTTTATCCGGGCTTGGGACCAGTGCTGAGAGCACACTAGCCTATGCACCCCTAATGGCTGAGGTTGGCGCCCAGCGTGGGGCTCGAACCCACAATCCTGAGATCGAGAGTCCCATATTCTACCAACTGAGTATGAGTTTGTGCTTTTAAACTGCTCAAGAAACAATTACAGAGAAGGGAGATCAGACCAATGTGGGTTTATATGTCTAGGACATTAATTGAAAATGTTGTTCACGTGAACCTAGGTGACCAGGATAAAGGTTCTCATTTATTCCCCTTCCCAGCATACACATTCCACTTTCTCTTTGAGGTGTTTTATTTAACAGTTGAGGCAGTACGCAGTATGTTGAGGCAGTTGAGGCAGTATGATCTTTCCTTTACTTTAGGAAAGTGTCTTTCTGACATGCCTGACTGCGCTCAGCTTCCCCTAGTTTATAAAAGCAAAGCTCTTTCTGTGGGTGAGCAGATCATATGTCTCATAAGCAGGGCTGTTTTTGTCTAGGCGACTGATTTTCAGTGATTATATTATCTTACTCACTATTGTGATGGAGTTAACGTGTGTTATGGTGCCATTGTTGACTCAAAATAGGGGTTCTCTTGTGGCTGGCTGTGAATGTCGGCCTTATTGCGTGTATGCATTATTGTGAGCATAATGGCTTTTGCAGGCAATGTTTACCCTAAATGTGCAGTTAAAGTGGGAGTGTCCATAACTTGCTCAAATAAACAACTGGAACTCATGCCATTCACTAACGCATTATTGTCTTCATGTGCTGTGGACTGATCAGATGGAAATCTAGTGCTTCTTCAGTTTTCATTCAACCCTTTCTGTTATATTGCATATACAAAAATATTTAAATGAGATACTGACACCTTGGATCCTTTGTGCATGACTAAACATTTCATAGTCGAGGAGGTTCAATATTCTTGGTTCTTTAATAGAGACTTGGGTCTTTGATTTTTTTACCTCACAGTTTGTCTCTCAAGTTGTAACTTGATCTCCTAAAGCTTTCCGAGCCTACTCTCTTCACCCTGTTTGTCAATTCAGCTCACAGTGTAAGCTTAATATTACTGCACTGCAACTGGAAAAACACTATCTTTAAAATAGTCATAGGGATTATGTTTGTACTGAATGTCTAAGTGCATTTTTGTATATTCAGTCTGTTGAATTCTTGGAAAACGTTTCTAACCTTATAGGGAGAGTAATAATGTCATTTCCCACATCTCAGCACATTCAGCGTGTGAAGTGGGGGAAAGAACATGGATGCCTCCATGAAAGCGTGTGTTTTGTTTGCATTGTCAGAGTACATGAAGCTCCTAAAAAGCTACTTTACCCGCACTTTTACAGTAACAGGCCTGAGTGGCTGTTGGTACCGTTCAACTATAGTGAACTTTAAGCATTCATGCAAAATTTTGGACAGAAATTGCAGTACAGCAACAGCAGCGGTATATAGTAGCCTAGTGACAAGCTAGCCAGCATACAATAGCAAGTAGTGTTAGCAAGAAGCTAGTCGGCTAACGTTAGTAATAACTGTAATGTTGTGTATAGTAATATGGAAATTTGCATGCAGGGCCAGGTAGGACAATAATGTGCATGTAATCATATAATCCTAATTCTAATGCAGAGATAAGCAAGTTATTTACAACTGTGATCACTTGGTTGCACATTTAATCAACCCATTTCTTTTTATGCTACAGTGAATATATATATATATATATATATATATATATATATATATATATATATATATATATATAATATTTTCTTAATGAAAAACCATGACTGATTCGGGGAGGAAACATACTTTGTACACATGTTGTTCCTGAGCCACTGTCAGTTGCCTGGACAATCCTTGAATAGTAACTCACAGTCATTGTTGTGTTAGGGGTGTTGGATCGGAATTGGCTGGAAATTTGACGCCCACCATTCACTTTTTAGGAACATCTGCATATTCTTGCACTTATAAAATCACAAAATCATCTGGCAGCAGCACAATACATAATCATGCACATACAGGTCAAGAGCTGCAGTTAATCTTCATATCAAACAAACACAAATGTGATCTCAGTGACTTTGACTGTGGTATGTTTGTTGGTGCCAGATAGACTAGATTGAGTTTTTCAGGAACTGCTGATCTCCTGGGATTTTCACAATCTCTAGAGTTTACACAGAATGGTGCAAAAAAAACAAAACAAAAAAAAAAACATCCAGTGAGTGGCAGTTCTGTAGGCAGAAACATTGAGAGAGGTCAGAGGAGAATGGCCAGCCTGGTTTGAGCTGATAGGAATGTATGGTAACTCAGATAACCACTCTTTGCAAACGTGGTGAGCAGAAAAGCATCTCGTAATGTACAACACATCGAACCTTGAGGCAGATGGGCTACAACAGCAGAGGACCACAAAGGGTTCCTCGCCTGTCAGCCAAGAACAGGAGCACATTTGCCTCAAGGTTCAAAGTCCAGGCACGAAAGAAGTCAGTCTACACAGGAGCCAGCAGCCAATCAGGAGAGAGAGTAGAAGCGTGAGCGAGTCCAAACTAGTCACTTGTGATGGAGTTTTAGGTGTTTTTGCTAAACAGGGTCTTTAACTTGGTGGAAAGTTAGTAAATAATCATCTTGGTTATTCTTGTTGTGGAATTTATATCATTACTCAGTTGAGTGATGAAGATAACCATAGGCAGCTAGCAGATAACTAGTTATATTTATCTAGTCATCTGCTAGCTGCCTATGGTTATCTTCATCACTCAGCTGAGTAATGAAAGCAACCCTTTCCCTTCAACCATAGTTTATATTTTAGCTATCTAGCTAATACTAAGTGAGTAGTTCATTCTGATGTTATGTGCTGCAGGCAGTCACAGTACAAAAGTAGTGTGTGTGTCTGTGTGTGTGTCTGTGTGTGTGTCTGTGTGTGTGTCTGTGTGTGTGTCTGTGTGTGTGTCTGTGTGTGTGTCTGTGTGTGTGTCTGTGGTGCCTAAGCACTTTTGTACAAGGTACTCATATATATACTGTATATAAACTATAGAATTAGTTTATTTAACAGTTTGCATTTTGACATTATTTGCTTCTGTGTGGTGGCGTTCATCAGATATATCATTCTAATACATGTGTTGTCCCACACAGCCCGTAATGAACCTCTGAAGAAGGATAAGCCCAGGTGGAAGAGCGACTACCCCATGACAGAAGGCCAGCTGCGCAGTAAGAGGGATGAGTTCTGGGACACCGCACCGGCTTTTGAGGGCCGCAAGGAAATTTGGGATGCCTTAAAAGCGGCTGCTGTGGCCCTGGAATGCAATGACCATGAGCTAGCTCAGGCTATACTGGATGGAGCCAGCGTCACACTACCACACGGTGAGAGAATCCAGCCAGTTACAGCGACTATCTGCTTCTTCCATTGCCGTTAATGCGGTTTGTGAAAGTTTGTACCATGAAAGTTCATTCATAAGTGAATTTATAATTATGCATAATTCAGTTAGCTAAACTGAAGAACTGAATTATGCTGCGTTCGTGGTACCTTGTAAGTGGTAATTTGCAGGTTGTAATGAAGTGATTTCCCACTTCGGCACTTTCGACACTTTCATGCTAGCTGGCTAACATTATAGTGATAACTCTAATTTTGATGATTACCTTTTCAAAACAGTGATTAGTATGGTCAGTGATATAGATTTAACCAAATACTGTCTCTGTGTATTAGATTTAACCAAATACTGTCTCTGTGTATTAACTGATTAAAGCCAATACTGCTATAAACTTATTTAAAAGTATAGAAGGAGCACTTTACACTGTTCACAGTGTGAGCAGCCATGTTGATTTGACGTCACTCCGTAAATGGGGAAGGAACTGGTCGTTTCGAAAACTACTCCAAGTTGACGAGGTTGAAATTTCAAGTTGAGGAGGCGTTTTCTATAGCTTTACCAGTTGGAAGCAGGGAATTACAAGTTGCAACCTCACCCCGAATGCAGCGTTACAATCTTCCAGCACATGTCTGACGAACGAGCACTTATAAGCAACTGAATTGTACTACTAGGCTAAAATATTATCCTTTTCTGTTAAGTTGTTTGAGTTCAGCCTGTACCATATCCATGATCTGTGAAAATGGTAGCATATTTTGTGCAATATAGATTTCAGTTTCCATCTTTTGCCCCTAGGATCCCTGACGGAGTGCTACGATGAGCTTGGCAATCGCTACCAGCTACCCGTCTACTGCCTGGCACCACCTGTCAATCTAATCACTGAGAGGAGCGAAGACGAATCTGTGCCAGAAAACGCAGACGCACAAACAGCCCCCAAAAAGGAGTTCCAGCTCAAGGTGCGCCTCTCGACAGGCAAGGACGTACGTCTCAGTGCCAGCATGGCTGATCCTGTGGGCCTGCTGAAGAAGCAGCTGCAGGCCCAGGAGGGCATCGAAGTGGCACGTCAGCGCTGGTTCTTCTCTGGCAAATTGCTCACAGACAAGACACGCCTTCAGGACACCAAGATCCAGAAAGACTTCGTCGTCCAGGTCATTGTGAACCAGGCCGATTATTAAAGCCAGAGAGGACCAGATAGCGCAGAGAACACGGGAAGCGTGGATGGCTGTCATCGTGCTTTCTTTTTCAGGAAAAGAAAATCACTGAAACACAACAATAAGAAGAAAGACACAGCCAGCATGTGATGCTTCCTGTGCACTCCACAACATAAAAGCATATTTTCTCTGCCTATTTTGTCTTTTTGTTTTTACTCACAAAAATGGTAGTGAAAAAGAAAGAAGAAAGATGGCCATCATGTGCTGCTTTAATCTTCTACTACAAAATGTCATTGTATAGAGTCTGACCGTCACTGTACCTTGCTGGAGCCATAAGCTGGTTCTGTTTCATTTGGACAGACTTTCTGACAGTGAAACCCAGTGAAAGTAAAAGTGAATTTTTCTTTGTGTGACCTCCACTTGAGAGCCTCTTTGAAACTCACCTGGTGAAAAGTTCTTGTTGAAAGAAAGTGAAAAGTGGGTATTGATTTGACAGAGTAATGTCTATGCTTGCTTGAGCAAAGTGCCAATATAAGTGGGGCTTTAAAAAAAATAAAGCACATAATCTCTTGACTGTGATTCTGGAAAGGCCTAATATTCAGAGGATTGTGTTGAACCATACCTCAGCGCTCCTGCTCCAG